CCAGTCGATCAGGGGCCTCATGCGACCAGAGGCCCCCCATGCGACCAGGGCCCCCTAGGCGACTAGGGGCCACAGGCTATCAGGGGCCCCCATGAGACCAGGCCCCCGGCTACCAGAGGCCCCCTAGGCGACCAGGGGCCAGGAAACTGGGGGGCCCTTGGATGACTGTAGGGGCCCCTCGGGTACCCAGGGCACATAAATGAAACTTGAATATCAATTTTTCTTCCGAGTAAAAGACGTTTTATCCAGTGTTTAAAAAATATCCTGGGGCCTGAGGGGCCCCCTGAGCGCCGGAGGCGCTCAGGGGGGGGCCTTGGCCCCCGTGGCCCCCCCTTGGGTACGTCACTGATTGCTCGGAATGTCCGTCAAGACTCCCCGTCATATTTAGCTCGGATTCAACCAAGATTTAGTACAGATTCCAAACGCCTCGGATTGAGAAACTTACACACAACAAACACGTCTTGAAGTATGCATGATAGGTGCTCCAACTTACTCGGCGTTTGTGTCACCTAGCTGTTTGACCTGCAAAGGTCAACAAATGTCACGACTCCCGAATTTGCACAGCAGTTTGTGGCACGCACACCTAGTGGAGCTTGAGCGCTGAAAATGGCACATAACACTTGTACAGTTTGCATGGACCTGGAGCTGCTTCCCTTATTATATCAATCTTTCAATAGAGCATCGAGCAGCGAAAGTGTGCTAATGAATTGTCATGTCTTATTGAATATAAATGGAAACAACCCTTGAAATATCAATTCTATCCCTTACCATGGCGCATGCTAGGGCCGCATCGGGCATTCTTCTTTTGCATATTAGTCACGTGTGCATAGCATTTTTGACGAGGCTCCAGCTCATTTATTTTGCGAGAACTTCGATGCAGTGATCTTTGCATATCTAGAGGCCAGAGCCCAGAGGGGATAATTGTTTAAATTGTGAAGGACCGCTAGCATCTTTTGCAACATAACGGGCCGAGCTATAAGCTAAAGCTTGCAACAATCCCTATGTAAACGGGGCTTTGTCATGATTATCTTGCCCCAGGGGCGCCGCCAAGCAGAGGCGCACCCAGGATTTTCCAGGGGAGGGGGTGCGGGCTCAAAGGGGCCTCCGTCCGCTTGCCAGGGGGCCTTTTCTCTATCGAGGGGGCCTCCAAATGGCTTACTTTTTGACGGCCTCTGTATGTTTAGTGACGTTCTTAGCGTTATAAGTAAAGTTAACCCTCGCCCTGGCAGGGTTCAATGCGATTCCCCTAAGGTTTTTGAAGATAGCGTAAATTCGGCGGCGCGCGGCGCTTTCTGGCTGCGCCTCTGTCCTGCCTTGCGGTACAGCATGCACACAGGCGCAGTACCTACCCCGCCATCTATTGACAACAAATGGAACAGCATCAAGACTTCTTAAAAATCGGGTTCAATATTCAAGCTTTTTGTAGCAAGTTATGCTTTTATTGATAACCAAGATTACTATTTCATTAATTTTCAAAAATATATTTTTTAGGCAAATCATGCTCACAGTCTAAAAATGTAAAGGTTTTTACCATAGAAATGTTTTTACCGGTTTTTACCGACGCGGCAAAGAAAATAAAGGCAATGAGTCGACATTTTTGGTGACTATGATACAGATACAATAGCGCCAAATTCCAACCAGCATCAATAACAACATGGATTATCATCCCTCATCGTTATCAAGGCCGTATAAGAGAGGTAGAATCATCCCGCAATTTCCAATGGACCGGTCGCTAAGCATTAGCGTGACGTCACTGGTGGAGACCGCGCGGCGCCCGGCTCCAAGCCGTATGTCGGGTACATTTGGCACTTTATCGTTGTTATTATTGAACGTAACAACTAATGACTCAGTCTTAATAACTTTTTTACCCACCTAAAGCTGATTTCCTTGCCGATACATTGCCGACCCGAGCCCCAGGGTTGACAATCTGGGGATATGGGTCGGATGGGCGACCTCGCGACGGGAGAAGGAACGATTGCAGTTGTGTCCCGCACCGCCGATTGCATTCTCTATCTGCACCCGGAGGGGGGGGGGAGCAGGGGGCACGTGCCCCCATCGGATCAGGGGGCCTCTCGGGCCCGAGGGGCCCTGCGACGCCAATTGGCGGCTGAGGGTCCACGCTGGCATTTTCGACTCAGAAGGGCCCCACAGGGCTCGAAAGAACACCTTATGTGCTCCGAATAGCCACACTTCTCTCCATAAGAGTCACACACCGGCTTTTTATTGTCCCTTGTCGGCATTTGAGGGCCCCTTGCCGGCCTCTCAGGGCCCATTGGCGACCTCTGAGGGCCCTTACCGGCCTATCAGGGACCAGCAGCTCTAAGGGTTCCACACACGCCTGTGATGACCCCATAAACCAATGGTTGAAGGCCCCCACAACGGCGCCTGCGAGGGCGCTCACCGGCGGCTGTGAAAGCCCCAAACCGGTGCCCAGCTGAGGGCCCCACACTGCCACCTCTGAGTTCAACCGGCACCCCTGAATGAAGTCCTAAAGGCCCAAACCAGTGCTTCTTAAGGCCATATATCGGCGGCTCTGAGGGCTCAACGCCGGAGCCTCTGACGGCCCCAGACGGGACCTTCGCATCGGACGGCCAGTGGCCACTCACCGGTGACTTTTGAGGGCCCCACACCGACGACTCTGAGGGCCCCACCGGCGTCTGAGAGTACCTTGCTGGTCTCTGAGGACTCCACAGGGCTACTGAAGACACCGCAGACCTCTTGAGGGCCCCTTGTCGGTCTCTGAGAGCCCCTGTCGGCTTATAAAGGGTTCGAGCAAGCAGCTCTAAGGGTCCCACACCCGATTGTAATAACCCCACACTGCAGTGTCTCTGAGGGCCCACAATGGCAACTGTGAGGACCAGTGTTCGCCACGGGCCCCAAAATCCCCAGCCCAGCCCGGCCCGGGCCCATGGGTTCAGAGCCCGGCCCAGCCCGTAGCCCGCTCTTGGTTAACGTTAGGCGGCACGGGCGGACATCGATAGCAGCGCCTCTATCGGTCACTAGGGAAAGCTTGGCTGTAGGCGACGAAATACCGGCTGAGTTGTCACACGTTGAATAGGTTTATAGACATCCGTCTTGTGAAAAAGTTGAACTTTTGCCTTCAATATTTCTACAGGCAATTTTAGAAGTGTCTTCACATAGATTACAAAACCATTTAGATTATTCTATTCACTTCAAGCCTTTCCTATTGTTCTTGACGAGATGCGGGAACTATTTCTAATTAGTGTTTCTAGCTTAGTAAAAGAACATATTATGCAAACGATGAAAAAAGCATAAATGGAAGATTTTATATGCAATTTTCTCTAACAATTAATGGTAAATTATCTACATATCAAGGAAAAGATGCATGCTAACTGATAATTTAAAGTTTTTGGGGCCAGTTGTTTTCTTCTTTTCTTACGTCGCCCCAATGGCCGCGAATACACTAGTGATAACGCCTATCGATATTCCAAGCCCAGCCCGGCCCGGCCCGGCAAAAATAGCAATCTAGTTATTGTCTTAGTCTATTGCTATAATAAGCATGATTGATTACACTATTTTGAGAACAATTCAAATTGCATGAATATTAACATGGCAATCATGACTCCCTTCTTTTCAATGAATATAATCATTTCAAGCACCTATGGCACAAATTTTAACAGTAACAGCGGTAAATATTTACATAAAGTCCGATCCATATTTCAAGCATAAATTTTGCATATTCTTACGTTATTTGACATCCTGAATGTAGATATGATGCTTACATGCGGCGGAAAACAGTGCTACCATATTAAAAATATTTGCTACCATATTTGGGGAAATGTTGGGAACCGGGGTTTTTGGGTGGGGGAGGAAATACAATGCCGTAAGAATGGTTATGAAAGTTGGGGGAAACTGTTGGGAACCGGGGTTTTTGGGTGGGGGAGGGGGGATCGGGGTTTATGGGTATGGAGAGAAACCCCGGTTCCCAACAGTTTTCCCCAACTTTCATGACCATTCTTTACGGCATTGTATTCCCTCCCCGACCCAAAAACCCCGGTTCCCAACATTTCCCCAAATACGGTAGCAAATATTTTTAATATGGTAGAACTGTTTTACGTCGCATGTAAGCATCTTATCTACATTCAGGATGTCAAATAACGTAAGAATATGCAAAATTTATGCTTGAAAAGTGGATCGGAGAGATAAAATTTACTTACCTCTAATCTAGTTCACCGTGGTTTTGAAAAATACGCTGGACGCGTTCCTCGTTGCGGTACGCAACTGAAACTAGTTCGTATTCCTCCCACTTGCACCCGGAGCACAACGAACCACCCAGCACGGAAGCCATGATCCAACTAACAGACTGGCGGGAAAGCGGAAAGCACTGGAAAGCACCTGCTAAAACTGGTTCAAACCAGTTTGCTCAAACGGAAACGGAAGTTTCTGCTCTATATTGCAGGTACGAATGGAAAGAAGTTTACGTAAGGTCATAGCTATTAGGCATGTTTGATAGAAAAGATATCATAATTATATTATTTGAACATAAAAAATGAATAAAAAATCATCAAAAAGCAATTTAAATGTAAAAAGCAATACTTCTTCTCTATTCAAATTGTTTGGTGAAAGTGACGTCAAAATAACAAAACACGAAAAAAATGTTTAAAAAATTGGAGTTTTGTTGGGTAGGATAGGAAAAAAACACGACAAAAATTGTCAGAACCTAATCTAACCTGACCTAACCTGACCTACTGATATTTGCCTACCCGGGGATAAGGAAACAGTTGCTCGCATGAATAGATTGCAAGCAATGGTAAGTCAAATATTTTTAGGTTAAGTGGTTGTGCATCAGGCCTCAGGCCTTCGGCCTGAGGCCAGATACACAACCACTTAACCTAAAAATATTTGACTTACCATTGCCTGTAATCTCTCCTAAGGCATTGCCTTCGGCACTGCACCGCTTCGCCACGATCATTTTCATGACGTCACTTTCATAATGAGATTGAATAGCGTAATGTTTTCACTCAACCTTGGAGTTTATTCATTCGATCCATCTCACGTGGCGCAAACGGCTGGTGGAGTGCGTTGACGGCAGGTGTCGTGGGATGGTGGCCGGCGGCGACGGTAAATATTGCGCAGTTGCTTTAAAACTTGGTTGCGCCATGAATAACTATCAGATATGGAATCAGGAGCTCAAAATACATCGAGTGGTGTGGTTTTTATAATCACCTTGTTGATCGGACCTTATGTATATAAATACCGTAACAGCAAGCACCTCAGTCAATTAGGTCTTGATTACACACCTATAAAAAGTTAACATGATTATATTAACTACATTCTATGAGTAAAGTTATCTTGCAAGCTGATGTGTGTGAACATTATCATTCATAATTGGTGACTCTAATGCATACTTGAAGGAAGTATTTGCCACATACTCTATACTTCCCAGCACTTACCAGCAGAAAAAAAAGCTTGACTTATGGGAATTGATGAATCTGTCTGGGATTGACCTTGCTGTTAAATTCACTCCATAGATGCTGCAATATCAAAAGCCTGAGAAAGCATACAAAATAGGTGACACTAACTTTAGCACTGTCTTCCAAAAAAAGAGAAAATCCATCCATTTATCAGCAAAACTGATCTTATCTATTTTCAATTCATGCCCACGTGTCAACCAAATCTCTGTGGACAACTATCTGCTACTTTCCTTGCTATTTTATGTTAGGCTCTTTTCAAGATATTGATATCGCTAGCAGCGTAAGCAGAAAACATGGTAAACTTGAAATGTCATTGGGTACTTTTGCGACTTTTACGCATCATCATCATCAATCAAAAATGAGCGAACACTTCTTTATTGTCGCAGCTGCGGCAGGTAGCGATTTTGACCAATTGTATAATAAAACATATATGATCAAGTTTTTGTTTTGTTTTTCGTTCGAGTTTTCAGACTTCGTGATTTAGATTTTATTTTTTATTTGTTTAATTTTGTTTTTCACCTTGATACTTACTTTAAAAACGTATTTATTTGATATACTGTTGTGTATATTACCTAGGTGCCGCCACATAAACATAGGGCCGCCGCATGGCCGCCGCCATGATTGCAAATTTTGTTGAGAAGGGGCTGGTTTGTTGTGACTTATTTTGACAAATTTATGGACATTTAAAGAAGCTTTCATCGCGAAATACTCTGTAGAGTTCCTCGTTACTTACAGTGTGTTTTGTGAGTATCCTTTTAAGGTTCTGTTCGTTAAAAAGCCGTCGGTGAAGGAAAAAAGACTGTGTTGGAATTGTCTCACTATCGCCATATATAAGTGTTAAACTTAATGTAGCCCTGTGGCCCATCATTGTTGAGTGGCTTCTTAGTTTTTGGAGTTGTAGTGCTAAGTAAGTTATTCTTATGGCTACATTTTAACTTTTATTACAAACTAATGATGCTAGAGATTCTCTGATCTTTTTGGTTGCGGAATTTTTATGAAAACCCTCCTATGTGTGACATGATGTGATATTGGATAATTCTCAAGATTCCCAAAATTCAACATCAAGTAGGTTTTCTTTCACATTCCTTAAATTTGGTTTAGTTTTTGTATTTTCCCAGTGGGTTTTGTTTGCATCAGTTTCCAAATTTTCTTAAATTGACATTAGTCGCAAAACCCATAGTGCACAAAGCTCTTGGCCCGGCCCGTCCATAGCCCGTTAACTAATGATATTTGGGGGCCCGGCCCAGCCCGTAGCCCAGCCCGGCCCATGGCCCGTTGGGCTGGCCCGGCCCGTGGCGAACGAGGACCCTCACCGGCGCCTCTGAGGGCCACACACTAGCACCTCAGAGGGCCTACAGCGGCACCTCGGGGGCCCCGCACCAATGCCTCTGAGGGCTTCACACCGGTACCTCAACCTGTGAGTGCCCACACCAGTGCCTCCAAAGGCTTCATAACCGGCGGCCCTGAGGGCACTACACCGGTGATTTTGGGGGCCTACCGAAGGCACAACACAATCCCTTAGTCTCGCTGAGTCGCTATCCCAATCCCATACTGGCTTCTATCCCAATTCCGGCTCAACTAATTAGCAGCCCCCCCCCCATGGGTCAGCTTCGCCGCGCCGGTGTCGGTGCCGGGGATGGCATCGGGGCGGCAGTCGGCCACGCGCACTCAATGGTGTGAGCCGCTCCAAAACGGCTGCAGTAACTGGTCGATATAGGCAGTAAGCAGATGAGGAGATGCAGGTGGATTGATGACCGGCAAGCCTTTGTGCTTTACGAGGGCGAAGGGTCGAAGTCGGCTGCTAAGCCGTGAACGGGTTTTATCAGATACCGGTTCACTATGACCTTTATCAGGGTCCTGGTACCCTGACGCACTCTTGGATAGCCGAATTACAGCAAAACTCCATCCACGACTGTATCTATACGGCTTACGCTTTTCTGAAAACGTCTGCGTTTGGCCTTCCACGGGCCCGGCCGGCCGGCCGGCCCCGATTGGCAGTCCACCAGTGACGTCACTGGTAGTGTTAAGCTGATTGGCGAATAATACATGGGGAGAACCGGGACGACATCCCCCTGATCGTTATGATCCATGATGACAATGAGAAAGCTTTTGAAATAAAATGAAAATTTATGGTTGAGACTGGTTGGAATGCTAAAGGTCATTGAGGTAGGCATTGATACATTTTTGTTGTTTATGGTGACCCACCACAAATTTGTGGGGGGGGGCAAGATATGGGGAGCAAGATATCACGCATGTAATAATTGAAATTGTTGCATGCTTGGTTGGGATTTGTTCGCTTGTAATTTTTGCTTATTTGTGATAACTGCACAGTTACCTATTCATAATTTTTCTTTACTTTATTTGGCATTGACCATGTAATCCTGATCATTTTGCAAATCACTAAATCAAAATAAGAACGTTTGTGAGTTGCAACAAGTGATCTTTTGGGATTTCTGTGTTGACCAAAATTAAATGAGGATCTATGATCCCACTGGATCTCAAGCAAAAATACTAGACTCGGATCTATGATCCCTATGGATCTCAATAAAATAAAGAGCTGGATCTATGATCCCGACGGATCCGAGATCAGGATCCGTGGGATCAGTCGGGTCCCTGTACATGTCTGCTCCCAATATTGATATACTTGAGAATTGAATGACATAATACCACACTGATCATTGAAAAAGACTGCTGCAGAAGGTCACAGTGAAGTGGCAACTACTGGACACACTGACTCAGGGGCTGGGAGGTATGCGCAGCATCACACGCGCACACAAGGGAGCCGGCCAGCTGTCAGGACAGCTGGCTGGCTGCACCATGAGCTCTGCAGCTAGTAGGTAGTGGCGAGCAGGAAGGGTTACGCATAAAGCCTGGTGCAGCCAAATGTATCATGTTTAAATATCTCATATCCATATAGGTACAGACTCGTGTCCTCTCTGATTTGAATTTGGAAGAACTCTGAGCTTGTGGTGGGAAACATTTTTGTTCAACTTGCTTTTATCTAATTTCCTTGTTATCTGTTAAAAAAGTTTAGCATCTATGGCATGCATAAGCATGTGCATGTGCTTAAATAAAAAGGTTAAAATTTGGCACAATGAGCCTCAACTTTTGGCCCAAATCATGCTAAAATGCTAGCGCATGAGTCCCTGGGGAGTGGGGTGTTCGCTGTAGTGCACTAAAATTTTTTCCAGTCTGGACTTATTACCTAACCCAACCTAAACTAACCTGATCTAACATATCCCATATCAACCTACCCTAGCCTAACCTAGGATGTTTGCAGTTTGCCTGCCTCCTAAAAACTATGAAATCTGTAATGATGTCACTCTGATATTGATTTGTGTAATATTTTTAGCTGTTTTTTGTGTGATTACAGAGACATGATTGTTTCGTGCGTCGATTTAACATGTCCTCTCCCTTTTATTAACACAAGTGACGCAACGCAATTTATCGGAGTGTTTTGATTGTCAATACAATACAATACAATACAATTTTACAACAGCTGACAACAGGTTTTTGCAACAGCAGACAACGTGTAAGGAGACCGTGCAGCTCGATTGAAATGTAGAAACTAGAAACTGTGATTGGGGTAAAACTATGATCTTATGCCGAAAATTGTGAATCAAGTTAACTGGATGCTACATTTATTGAATCATGCGGTTTGATTTCTGGGTAGTTGTCTGTTTTGAATTCCATGGCATTGTCAGGTAAATTTTACCATTAGAACTTTACTTTTAAAAAAGTTATTGTGCAGAAACACATCATCATGGTTATTTTATTTCATATTGCTTAGTGAGGTAGCTACTCAGCTTGTGCATTATTTAATAGGTTTGCCAAGCAAATTAATGTAGGTATGACTGCTTAGGCACCTACAACAGTTTGAAGCTGCCTATTGCCAAGCTGATTGCTGATCGTACCCCAAGGTCCCATACAATAAGTAGGTATGGACATATCTTTAAAAATAGCACTCAAGCTAGACCACTCTTGACGTGACACTCGGTGCATTTTGGTGGCAATCATTGCCACCAAAATGCACCAACCCGCCATCAGATAAATAGCCAAGCCCATTTTGTCACAGGTGAACCAGGCCTGCCAAAAGCAACCATGGACGACTCGGGCTCCAACACCCAGAATCGGCTCTATCTGATGCTGTCGGAGCTGCAGAAAATCGCCAAGGATGTGCCACGGTGAGTGATCCAGTGAGCTGCAGAAAAACGCCAAGGATGCGCCGAAGTGGAGTGATCTGCAGAAAACCGCCAAAGATATGTCGCACTGACTGATGCGAGTCACGTGGGCTGTAAACACATTAGGTACTGTAACTAGCTGTATACCCGAGTCACCTGAACCGTGCGCATTGCAGCGTGCTCTGCAAACCAACCAGGACTTGGGTTTTTGCCTCGCTTTGCAAACATCAGGTGTCGAGTATGTTGCAAAACAGTTGTGAAGTTAAGGGGCGTGTTGTGTTAGCTAAATCAAAATATGATATATCAGTTACTTTATTATACTTCGTCATTTCAAAACAGCCAATAATGTTTATCAATAAAGTAAGAGGTTACTATCGTATAAACTAAAGGTTAGGCAGTCAGGGAAAGGAAATTACAATATCGATCACCGCTGTTGGATGTTTTGAAGCTGGTGAACACTGAGTCTGCTGATTGCGTCTCTATGCTGTTGACTTTTGGGCTATTATTTCACTATGTAGTTCTGGAGCAGACTGAATGTTCAGGACGGTCGCAGCTTATGCCAGAATGCCGTGACGCGCGTGTTTTTCGGGTGAGGCCGATCGGTCACTTAGCTCGCGTCGTGGATGGTTCGTTTCGTGACAACCGCTGGCCAGGCCGCCAGTCCGGAGTTTTTACGATCGCCCTGAAGCAATGATGGAGATCAGGAACCGGCGTCCGACACTAGAGCCGTTTGATCGAACTATAATGACCACAAATTACAATCGCGTCTTAGTGCATGTCTGTTTTTGCTTTTGGGAAGTTAATGCGTTGTTCGGAAGTTAATGTCCTGCTACCGATACCTTGACAACGTATCACAGGCTTAGCTAATGCACGGTTAGTTCCAGTACAAGCTGGTTTATAGTCCAGCGACAGGAGCTCGCGCAAGTCAGATGCACCGAACGCGAAAGCGCTGTAAAACCTGGAGCTGAGCGTTGTGCCAATTATTGGGTCTGGTGGCAAGGATTCCGTGTTCCAGCAGCGTCTGACTGTCCGCCCCGTGTTCCAGCAGTGCCTAACTGTCCGCCCCGTGTTCCAGCAGTGTGCGTTCAGTGTTCCAGCAGCGTCAACTGTCCGCCCTGTGTTCCAGCAGTGCCTAACTGTCCGCCCTGTGTTCTAGCAGTGTGCGCTCGGTGTTCCAGCAGTGCCTAACTGTTCCCTCTCCGTTCCAGCAGTCCCTGACTGTTCCCTCTGTGTTCCAGCCGGTTCCAGCAGCGCCTGACGCTGGAGCTGCTCTCGGGCCTGGCCAACTCGATGCTGGACGGCACCGTGTTCCAGATAGTGGATCAGCTGGCGGAGATCCAGCACGTGACAGAGAAACAGGCCTTCCAGATGCGGCAGCAGCTGGTCGCCGGACACAACGGTAGGAAGGCATCCAGCCATACGTATAATGTAGCTCATATGGACACTGGGTGGCTCAGTCTGTTTAAATCAGTTTTGTTTTAAACTAAACCGACCATTATTCTAACGGTTATTGCTTGTCTGTCGAGATTGTTGACGAGCTGGTATTCTATCGGCCCAGAGTTGTGACCTTTCAGAGGTTGACATTTCAGACCGTTGTGACTGACGTTGTGGTTCATTGGAGGCGTAAGAATGTCACTGAATGGAGGCGTGACTTGTTTAACAGGGAGACGTGCATGATAGGTGCTCTATGGTTACTTTTATCTTGTTATTTGCAGACATACAAAACCCTGACCTTTATCCCTATCCCGGGGCCTTGAAGCCGGTGTTTTTTACTTATTTGTCGTTCCGTGATATTGACGTTTGAACGCACATGCGTTTCGTCGGCATTCATATTGAATCAAATACCCCGGCTGCTCCGCGTGCTTGAAGATGGTACATATTGAAATACCTTGTTTCGCGCGTTCTATGCTGCACAGCGTGTTATTTCCTCCAGAATAGACGATATTGCATTCTTCCTACGGCTGCGGTATCAACGCTACCCTGTCCGAATAAAAAGGGCATCGCTGCCGCCTCCAGCAGCGCGTATGACGTTATTTAATTTATATATTTACCCTCGCCGGCACAGGCCATTTTGCGTCCTTCGACGGCACAAGGTACGACCCCCCCCCCCCCCTCGCGTTTGGCCCCTGATCGAGCAACGAGCGTGCTGCCCGTCACGAGAGGAAGCCGATGATACCCAGTTTTAAGGTCCTAGGTCATCGGTTGACCTTCCAGGTCAGGTCAATGACCCAAAAGTCGGGAAAATCGGGACCTGTTAGAAAGTCGTAAAGTGTGGCTGCTATGGGTTTTTTCGGGCCGTTGATCACGAATATCGTGTTAGTTTTGTTCACAGATGATATCTTTAAGCATTTAGACCAGGTCAGGTCGGGTCAGGTCAGGTCAACCAGAAGGGGTCGTGACGGGTATTCGTAGTACGTGTCAACCGCCTCTGACAGCTTCGTAACATGTTACGAAGGCACCAAAACTACTTCGTAAATGTTCAAATGGTTGCTAGATTCGAATTCAGCTCGAAAAACTAGCCTAGAAACTTGTAAAACTCGAAAAAGTGAACCGAGGTCGACCTTCAGGTGACCTCTAATGCATGGGACTCCTCCACCCTAATGCGTGGGAGCAACATAAAATCACATGTTTGAACGTTTGAAACCACGAAAAGTTTGGAAACGCGCGGCTAATGCGAGCCGATATACGCCGAATCGTGATTCCGGCCAAACATGGTCTCGGAAAGTAGGTCACAGGTCAAAAGTCACTTGGGTCAGGGTCATGAAATTTTCAGGGTAGGTGTAAAATTGATTAGTGCGAGAGTACTGAAAGTTTTGTCGCGATTGGTCGCTTGTTACGCGAATTATTCCCGAAAACCCTTAGGGGGGTTGCATCACCCCCCCCCCCCCGTGCCGGCGAGGGTTAAATTGGGCAATTGAACAGTGAACACACTGTGATAGTATTAGGCTGTGCGTTTTCCATGCATTCGATGTGTGGTAGTTGTGACCACTTATTTGGATGGCCTATCGAATGGTTATTTGTCCATTGACAAAATTGTGTGGTGCTGGTGTAGCTTCAATTTTTTATGTGCGCCTCTTGGATAAGCATGCCCTCGTAATGTGCTATAAAGTGTGCAGTTTCTCTTGTTTCTAGGCACAAACATGCGAATCAAATAATGCCTTTGTGCTGCTCGTCTCTGAAAATGCTGCAGCTCTATGTCTTATCATATGCGGACCTACTATGGACGTCAAACCCCTTGAGACCCCACTTTTTTGCGATAATTTTTAAATGCGTCAACTCTCGTTGACAATATTCTGGCAATGTGTGTTTCAGAACCTGCCGAAACTTTTATTACTAAGGTATTTTGACGCCAAACGATTATGAAAGGTGCTCCTCATTCACTCGTAAAGGGACCCTCCCACCTTAACATTAGTTTTGAGTTGAGATAGCCAAGTTTGCGGCCAGGCTCAGAAACCACCATTTATCCTGGTCGCAACCCCCGCAGCTTTATGGTGTTCAAGAAATTTCTTCCCTTTACTTGCAGGGTGGGACCAGCGTGGTCCCTATCTCTTAACCATTACGGGAATCTGATGACGTCATCAGGCTTTCGAACGTCCGTTAAATGTTTGACTAAAACGTTTTGTAGCACGCGGTGGTATATGCTGCTTTGCGCGCAACAAATGCCGCACTTTCAAATAAAGTCGCTAGGAACAGCGGAGATCCCAAAAAGTAAACAAAAGTAAAAGTCTAATATCTTGAAAACCGGTGAATATTTTTCGAAGAAATTTGGTAGATATTCGTTTTTGCTCTTTCTGAACCGAGTGACATCACTTTCATGCCAATTCATTAACTTTTTTGAAGGTGGGAGGGTCCCTTTAATGTTAAATTTCACGGAACGAATCTGCTGTTTGGGTAGAGGCTACGCGCTCATGGGGCGGAGCCACGTAATGACGTCAGCGCTAAGCTCCGCCCTACCCCTCCGGCGCTCCTTGCCCGGCGACCGGTCACTCGCGTCTCTCGCTCCATTCAGGCTTGATGGTGGGCGGTAGCTGGTAGCGGTAGCGGGCGCTGATAGATGGCATTTAGAGCAGATGGCGCTGGTGGCGGGGCTCGAGTGTGGCCGAGCGCAAGCCTCTGCCCGGGCCTGAATTGACCTTAACATTACGAGTGAATGAGAAGTACCTTCCATAATCGTTTGGCGTCAAAATACCTTAGTAATAAAAGTTTCGGCAGGTTCTGAAACATGCATTGCCAGAATATTGTCAACGAAAGTTGACGCATTTAAAATTTATCGCAAAAAAGTGGGGTCTCAAGGGGTTTGACGTTCATAGTAGTTAACTGGCGTCCGTGAACTTGTCTGAGATTGCAATGCCCGTCTTTTGACGAAGGAGCCCGTTTCCTCCGGTACCTGGTCCATTTTTCTTCCTTGGCGCGAGCTAGAGCCTACATCAACATTGCGCAGCGTCTGGGAGGCCGAGCGGGCGTGATCAACTCGCCGTCCGATTGGACGCCCGGGAGCTCCTTCCCGGCTCCTCTGCCGCCTGCTGAAAAAAAGTTTGCTAATATCGGCGCGCGATTAGTTTCAAGCCTGCTTGTAGCAACAGGGACTGCGAACGCGGCTCGCAGTCGGATAGCTATTTCGGAGCTCGTTGGAAGTTATTGACGTTAAGTGCGATGCAATTGCAGATGTACAGTCACACTTTTATGGATAAACTACCTACGTCTTATTTCACCCAATTAGAAGCAATATGCTCTAGCATAAGAGTTGCTCTTGACATTTGTGGTGATGACTAATTGCTGTTTATAAAGCGAGCCAAAGTTATAAAAAAAAATCAGTGACCTTTGTCCTGTCTTGTCGTGCCGCGAGCTTCTGGCTGTTACAAATCTGGTCAGGAGCAAGCTCTCACCCAGGAGCATAAATGACTGACCAGAACAAATTATGCTTCATTTACTCTCATAGGCGTTTTTGGTCATCACCACTCATATAACATTGCGTGTTTTGTCTTCATATCACCTGCCTGCGGCCCATGCCGTAAGGTCCCGCCTCGCGTGGCCAGGCTCCCTTTGTGCATGGCCGGCTGTCTGCACTTTTGGGCCCCACTGATGCGGCGGCGCCTCGCCCACATAATCACATGGTTTTCATGTATTTGGCGGCGTCTGCGGCTGCGGTCACGTGATGGTCACGTGATGGACCTTTCCGTGCCGCGGGGCCGTGGCCAACTCACGGCGGATCGTCACGTGACGACTGAGGGTCGCCGGCCCCGGCCCGCGAACCGTGCCCAGTGCTATGAGGTTCAGCGGTATCTGAGCGCCGATTGTCATTGATTGGGCCGATAGCAGCGTCAAAAATCGCCGGTTTATACGTGTGTGTATGCAGTTTTGGGCCGAAAATAGCGTCTGCGTAGATCGGCCTTCCTCAGCGAACTATTTTACGAAGCGGGTTTGCAGTGTCGACGTTTGGCTTACACCTGCCCGTAGGCTGTCTCGCCATCGGTATCCGCTGTTTGTGAAATAGTAAATGTAAGTCAAGTACCTACCGCCTCACTTAGTGCTGTCTTCTTCTTCATGCTGTCTTCTTATTATTGTTATAAGACCATTTCTGAGTGCCTACCTTCGCTGCTAACTTTGTTAGGAATTTCAGCCTGAATAATCGCTTTTGCTTCATGAAATATCAAATAAATCAAGTTAAATGCTGGCATCTGATTTAAGTTATGCTCTTGAGGTGACTAGCTCGATAACTCTTCAGCATCTCTCGGTAATTGCGTTCCATTATTTCTGGAACTCCGAGGTGCTTATGCATATGCACTCAGGCCGCGTGTTTGGCGGCGGCCCGCCTAGAACACATAGGGGCGGGGGAGGCAGACCCCTTCCGCTAGCATTACTTCTTGGGTACTTAATGGCAAACGATGAGTGGGCACTTGGAAACTGGTCACAGTTGACATGAAAATATTGCGGCTTTTGGGACAGAGCGCTTAGTTTTACATTCTTTTTTTTCTAATTTAAATATTATCCATCTAAGGAGGTCCTAAAAGTGCCTAGCTAGCTTTCGATGACTCATTAACTACCCTAACGATCCTGTTAAATTAATTTGATGTGAGATAAACTGATGGCGACTTGACACCTTTCCGTACTGACCCGTTGTCCGTTAACGATTGCCGTAATTCCGGCGACCCGTATGTGCTGACCCCGCCCCGTGACCCGCTGTTGGCTGGCCCCGCCCGTGTCCCTCCACCCTGTCCCACAGTGGACCGTCAGGCACTACTAAAGGGGAATCTGCCGGCGAGCCCGCTGTTCCGTGTCGCCGGCCCCCACCTCTTGTCCCGCCGCTCGGTGCCGCCCTGTGACCTACTGTCGCTGACCGTGTCCCGTCGCCTTGCGCCGCAGCGGACCGCCAGGCGCTGCTGAAGGCCGCTCTGCAGGCGGACCCGCCGCTGTGTGTCGCTGACCGTGCCCTGTCGCCCTGTGCCGCAGCGGACCGTCAGGCACTGCTGAAGCAGCAGAAGGCCGACCTGCAGGCGGCGCTGGAGCGCGGCGAGTCGCCCGCCCGACTCGAGGCCGCCCACCAGCGCGACATGCAGAGCCTGCTACAGAAACAGCAGGCCGAGCTGACGCGCTGTGACATGAAGGTGGTCACCCAGCTCGACCAGAAGGTGGGACGCGGGGGGCGGGGGAGGGTGGGAGGGTGCTGCAGGGGCCACTCTGAATGCATTGGGGTTGTTGGACAGCACCAGTCAGCCCATTATTGATGCTATTCGCGTCAGAAATGGATGGTTGGGAGCAGCTACCAGACCAAAAGCACATACAGCAAGTGAAACCGAATGACGAGAGTTCGAAATTGTATCCATAAGAGGCATACAATCTCGAAGGGATCATGAATACCTGTCTAGGAGGTGTGTGCGTGGGCTGCTGTTCTGAGCGGCCGTGCCCACACCGCCGCTATTATTGGCTCTCCCTGATCGCCGCGCCGGCAACATTAGGTGGTCTGTTGGCCTCGCCGACTGCGTGGGACGCCCCGCCGGCGGTGTGCTCGGCTCACGGCCATCGGAGCCGCGCCGGCGGACCGGCCGTAATGGTCCGGCCGGTCCGGCTGTTGATACCAATCATGGACGCAAGCTCGCCGAGCTAAATTTACCGTGCGAGTGGGCTCTAAATGCCGGGCACGGCCGTTGTAGTCGTCCCCCACCAGCCGTATGTCTCCGCAGGGCCGGACTGACGTATGGGCCAGAGGCTATCTCTTCGGCACATGAATAAGTCAGCCGGCGCCGGTGCAGGTCGGAATTTAAATGCGCGGTCAGGCGCCGTGAGCCGTCCTCGCCGCCGGCGAGCACTGCCAGTATTTCAGGAGCTACTGCTGGATGCCGCGCGCCGACTGCCTGTGAGCGGCGCTGCTCAGTTATGACCCAGGCTTGTTCGTCCGTGTGGGGGCGGGAGGCTGACCGCCCCGTCGGCTGCTGAGAGCGAATGGCGGCATTAATTTTGCACCTGTGATGGCCTTGACCACTCTATGTGGTGTTGTGGGGTGATTCAGTGAAAAGGGGAAGGGCACCCCTGTCGCATAGCGTAAAATACTGCAACACTCGCCATGTATTGTATTGTATTGTATTGTATTGTATTGTATGCGCCAGTTTGTATTCGGTCTCAACCGCCTTACAAAGAAGAGCTGGGAACTGTGGAATTAAGGCCGATTAAGCGGCATGTTGTCAATTCTTACCAACCGTCTTCTCAGAGCTGCAATAGCCAATCATTCGCAGAGGGCTTCTGATTGCTCAAGTGCTGCCGAGTTTGCCGAGGCATTGACCGAGCATGTCGCCGAGTGCTGTTCCAGGAATCGGGTCCTTCTCTCGCAGTCTCGTCGAGCGTGACGTCACAGAGACTTTGGCCAATCAGCGACATGCTATCTGTCGCCGAGTTTGTCAGTATTTCAAACATTGAACAATGGTCTGATACTGAGCTCTGGTTTTGCCGTCACCCGTGCCGTGAATAGATATAGATCTAGTTGAGCATTTTGTATTTCTGCCGAGAACACCCTATGAAGCAAGAAAAAACGCTATGAAGCAATGATGCCAACATCTGCCGCAGACCGGTCGCCCTGAAACTCAAACCATAATTACCACTACCAGCTGCAGAAAGGCTCGGTTTTCGCTGGTTGTACATTCGTTTGGAGGTTCACTGCGAACCGATGTCGTATCGATCCCCAGTCGCGCGCTCATTGCTGGCTATTTATGGTCCTGGTTGCGTAGCTTCAGCCGCTTTGCAGCCGCTGTTTGATGAACGCCGTATTGATTTCAACTTATTACAGTGTTGTCCACGGCGTCTCTAGATTTTTGCTTTGAGAAATTAGCCAATATTTTTAACGGTTATTTTTGGCTCATATAACTACGGTACCGTTGCCACCACGGTACCGGATACTGACTTTTCCACGCCGGTTTCCGAGTGACAGGGCGGCCACAGGCAGCGGCTCACCACCGAGCTGAGGGGCGTCCAGGCGCTGGGGTGTCTGTCACCTCCCCACCAGCCGGCGGTCGGCTCTGCCCCCACGGGACCGCAGTGAGCTCCCCTCGACAGCTCTCCTCGGGTGGGGATGGGTCCGCCCCAGACACCTGTGGAGCGGGTGGCGCAGTCGAGCGGGCAGGATGTGCGGCAGCTCGGCCACAGTGCCGCCGGCCGCCGAGTTCGGTAGTTGGCGGCTCCCGGCGACCTGTTGATGGCTTTGGCAGGCCCCTGGGAACCGGCTCCATTAGCCGAGTGTTCTGCCAGCCGAGCGCGTGCTGTTTACGCCGCGCGAGTTAACCACTAATTGGACGCCTCGGCATTTCAGGAAGGTAACGCCCGCCCTTGCAGGATTCAACTAAATCGCCTGTTGTATTTGCTTTGGAAACATATTTCATTAGTTTATGCTGCTTCCAGGCATTGCAAACTCGGTGTTAATTAAGTAATCTGTTTCACGAAGCTGTAATGCTGTTGAGTTCTGTCGTTTATCTAGATATCATCACAAGTTAGTTGAGTTTTTCGTCGGAAAGTTGGTGTAGCTGTTGGATAAGTTGTTATCCCTAGCGGCTCATGCCTGTCCGACTTGGTGCTGATTAGTTTTTAGAAGCTGCGAATGCTGTCGCGTCTAGTTTAGTGACCAAGTTGGCGGCTTTTGCGCAGCGCAGCGCCTTTCAGCAGGCGCAATGTACGACCGTAAATGGCGCAGTCATGAAGTCTCCGCCTGAAATATGCACGCCGACTAACTGCATAGCGCGAA